AAATTTCTTAAATAGGAATCATTATTTTTGACACTGGATTTGGATTGCTCTATTTTTTTTGAGCAACTTTGATCTTTACAGTTTGTTGATATCTTCAAAATTGCCATTTTTATGACTGTCGAAAGTTTTAAATCAGYTAATTCGTAAATATCGCATTTTGCAACGCTCTATCTTAATTGCACATTTATAGGTATTATTATAACAATTTATTTTTATTAAAACTACAATGTGTATTTATTATTTCATCGAATTTATAAAACAATATCATTATAATTTATTCGTTGAAAAATGCGATATTTACGAATTAACTGATAGGACATAGGAATTAAAAGATGCAYGGCCCGGTCATAAATATTAAATCTTTAATATTATAGATAAATACCAAATGGTCACACTGGTTTTGTTAGGTTATGTTTTTTAATCAAATTTATTTGCATTATCAGTGTTAGTTTGCAAAATTACATTCATAAAGAATAATTAATAATAAAAAAATCCTGATAGTCGTTAAGTGTTCAACTTAAAAGTTAAAAGTATACATTATTGTTCCTTTTTTATACATTGAATATAATAGGTATTTAGAGAGTGCTTTAACTTTTATTATTCACAATAATTATAAATAATTCAAAATGAGTTCAATTGGAACTGGTGTAAGTATATGTTTTGATTTTTTAAACGGCAATGTCCATTTGACCATTTTATATCTTCGATTTGTTTGTGTCATTTATTATATACAATTCATAAAATTAAAAATGATTATRTTTACAAAATTTAGATTTCGTTAAATATAATACATGTAAAATATATTCTTTATAGTATGATTTATCAGCATCTCAGTTTTCTCCGGATGGTCGAGTATTTCAAGTTGAATATGCTTTTAAAGCAGTTGAAAACAGCGGGTAAAAATCATATAGCTATTTAATAATTAAGTTATTTTTAATTAAACCATGATATGTTTTTGTTAGGACTGCCATAGCTTTACGCGGTTCTGATGGTGTTGTTTTTGCTGTTGAGAAGTTGGTCACGTCAAAACTTCATGAAGATAGTACAGGAAAAAGRTTGTTCAGTGTGGAAGATCATATTGGAATGGTAAATGTTTTGAAGTGTATGTATGTTCTAGCCTATTATATAATAATGTAACTTTCCATGTAGGCTGTTGGAGGATTGACTGCTGATGCCAGTGCAATATTAGATATTGCACGTGAGGAAGCGAGATCATATCGTCAGTCATACAGTATGCCTATTTCATTGAAATATTTAAATGAACGAGTATCCATGTACATACATGCTCATACATTGTACAGTGCTATTAGGCCATTTGGATGTGCTGTCATTATTGGCTCTTATGATCCTAAGTACGGTCCTCAAATGTATATGATTGATCCAGCTGGAGTATCATTTGTATGTTTTTGTTTATTCATTTATAAGTGTTGTATAACATGTTTGTACCTATAGAGTTCACTAAGATTATAGGATAAGAATTTTTGAACTAATTGCATA